TCTGGATTAATTATTTGCCATCTGTCTCGGCACATGTTTGGTGTTCGTCCCTCAATGTGTTCAGCTACTGTTTCCCAATCATTTCCGTATTTTGTCACTATATCCTTAAGGACTTGATCTTCTATTTCATCCCACGTTCCCTTCCATTTATCTCTACATTGATCTAGACTCTTGCCTGGAAATTCGATTGCTATTTTACGCCAGTTAACATCATTAAATGATTGTTCTCTCACAATACTCTTAAGCTTTTTAACTTCATCAGACAACCAAATTATCTTCTTTTTTTTATTATTCTTATTATCTTTTAAATTATCTTCTTTTTGTTCAACTCTTTGTACTATATCTGAAATTTTTTTGTAACTTACAGGTGTAAATTGTTTGTTTATAACCGAAAATCTTTGCATATCATGATAAAGTTCTTTACATTGCGTTATTGATTTATTTTGAAAATTTTCTGAAATTTTTTTCCAAGCAGTCCCATATTTAGATACTAATTTCCAAAAAGTTTTTAATTCGTTAGGAGTAAAGAAAAAATTTTTTGTATAAGACCAATCTATTAAAACTTTGAGTTTTCTCCAACGATAAAAACATTCTAATGAATTTCTTTTGTATAAACCACGAGCAATTACTCCCCAATGTTTAAAACCACACATAATGGCACGCCTTAAAAGTATGTTATCTTCTAAAGTAGTCCATTTTTTATTACATCCTAAATTCAAGAAATATCCACGTCTTTTATAATCACAAGAAAAGTTTAGCCTTGTACCTAAACTTTTGAAATATAATTTCATTTTTTTTTTTATAAATGAGTTAAACGCTTAATGTCGTTAAATTCTAGTTCGTGATTCAACCTCTAGGCCAGTTTTATCCTAGACCAGGGGTTTAGGTTCTTATTCTAGATTGCTATTTTAAAAAATTTATTTGAAGGTTTAGGGTAAGGAATCTAAACCCCTGGTCTATTTTAAGGACGCCCTTTTTCTATATAACGATTAGGATTGACAGATATCAGCTGATATCGTAAGGTGCGAGGTGCGAGATAGACAGAAGGAAGGTGAGCTTTATAGTGTTGATTTCAACTAATATTTGACACGTCCCTTATCAAGAATTATGGTTTCAGATAAGCCTATTCGTATTGGTTGTTATAGGTATTTATGTCTCTTTAGAATTTACTGTTGCGAATATCGGTCCTTATAAAAAAAAACAAAATCCACCTTTACTAGCGCTTTTTGGGGTGATTCTGTTACTGCAGCAGAACAACTAGTTAGACTAGAGAAAGGCGCGTTAAACTATTTAGTTGGAGACTATCTTTCTGGTAAACGAGAATTCACGAACCTTATATCAGTGTTGGGAAGATTACTATGTCCAATTGTTTTCATATGTCCAAAACCAATTAGACATGTGTCCAAAACTAAATGTGGCGCAGTTTTTGTCCGATTCCCAACATTGCCTTATATTGTAAATTACTACCCTTTTTACAATTCAACTATTAAAAACTAATTCTCTGAAATATAATTAAAATTCCAGAAGTGACAATAGGATTACTTGCACGTAACCGTAATCAGAAATCAACAGATCGTAAAAGTTTAAAAGGTGCAAGCCAGGGTGGTTACATTTCCGAATTTCTCACCTATGTCCTACGGCCTCTACTACACGAAATTGTCAAATATAATATTAAAATAGTTACTAATGCCGGAGGTTTGGATCCTTTAGCATGTAAATCAGCAATTGAAAGTTTAGTCAAAGATCTTGATCTTGAAGGCAAAGTAATTGTTGCCGCGGTTACTGGTGATGATATTTTGGATAAAGTGCATAATGACAATGAATTACTTAAATTTTCTCATATTCAAGGAAATTCTGAGGATACTGAATGGTTTCCACTTGGCGATAAAAAAGTTATTTCACTTAACACATACCTTGGTGCCATTCCAATTGTTAAAGCATTAAAATCAGGTGCTAATATTGTGGTTACTGGCCGTTGTGTAGATAGTGCGTTGGTACTAGGTCCATTAATTCATGAATTTAGTTGGGATCCTTATAATGACTGGGATTTGTTAGCTTCTGGATCATTAGCTGGGCATATTATAGAATGTGGGTGTCAAGCAACTGGTGGTAATTTTACGGATTGGAGAAAAAGTGCCTTTTCACCTGATGGTGGATGGAATAATATGGGATATCCAATTGTCGAATGCTTCAAAGATGGTGAATTTTTTGTTACTAAACCCAAGAATACTGGTGGACTTGTAACACCAGCGACAGTTGGTGAACAAATGGTATATGAAATATTAGATCCCGGCGCATATATTTTGCCAGATGTAATTTTGGACCTGAGAGGTGTAAAGTTAAAGCAAGTAGGAGAGAATAAGGTTTTGGTTACTGGTGCAAAAGGTCGAGCACCAACAAAGTATTTGAAAGTTTCTGGAATTTACTCGGATGGATATAAAATGACTGGACAACTAGTTATTGGCGGCATTGATGCAAGGAGTAAGGTATGATGTATTGTTGATACTTTGATTTCGACATTATTTCAAAATATTAATTTATTTTAGGCAGCAACTGTCGC